AGACTCCCTGTTGGGCCACGCGGGGAGGACGTGTCGCTGGCTGCTGAGCTGCGCATTTGTGCATCCCCCACTGGGGCTGTGTGACTGCACTGCACGTGCCACACAAGGCAACTACATCCCTTTAGCTTGGTCGTGCAGACCAGGCTTTAGTGTTCAGCCCTTACCGATCGTTTTACAAAATAAAGAAAAAGGAACAGAGGAGGAGCCTGGCCTCAGGCCTTCCCTCATAGAAAACTGCAACATCTTGAGTTTAGCTTATTTTATTTTGCAAGACTATATGTGACGCTTTCATTTGGGGGGAGAGGGAGGAAGAGGAGAGGAAAAATTTCCCCCAGTCGCAGTCTCTTTTATTTATATATAACAAATTATATATCTAGAGAGAGAGAGAGAGAGAGAGAGAGAGAGAGAGCATGCCCCTCAGTTTCTGCAGTCAGTTGAGGAAATTTTGAAGCTGTTTGTAGTTTTTGGTAAATAGGGCAGGGCAATTTTCTGTTTTATAGAAAATGCAGTTTGTGCAGTTCTGTATATGAGGAATAATCTTTTCTAAATCCGTTTCAAATCTGAACCTCATGTTCACATGTTTGGGATGTCAATGAAGTAAAGCAACCACTTTAGATGCCTTTTTAAAACTCACCTTCATGATAATGAATACAGAAAACTGATACTAATGATAATGGCAAAGTAGGTGGCAAGTTGTGTTGACCGTTACAGCTAAAAAAGGTTCACCCATCTATTTTGTGATAAAACAGCCTATTGTTTTGAACTCACATACAGACAGATGCACATTTCTAAAAATATATAGATAAAAAATAAGGGCTGCCATCACCAAGTCCAGATGGTCAAGGGAGGAGTAAAAAATGTGGAATTGCCACAAGATCATTACATTGCACCCATTGTACCGGATGCTTAAAAAGGGGCCAATAACCCCCAAAATAAAGTAGACACCCCAAAAAACATCAGAGCACTGCATTGCCACCAAGAGAATCTGCCCCCTATCTAATCTGCCATTAGATTGTCTCAAGGTACATACTGGTAACTATAACGTTGGCAGAGAGAGAGAGGTAGGGGTGTGTGTGTGGCTTTTTCCCCTGAAAAAAAATTCTGTTTTGCTTCTTATAAACATAAAACACTGGAGATGAAACCCTCAGGCATTCTTCCTGGATCTTGAGGCAGTCAGTGGAGTTTGGAAAATACAAGGGAGGAAAAAAAACAGTCTAGGTATTCACCACTTAGAGCATAAAGATGAAAATATCCCCTGATTCTGTGAACATTGGATCATCTTGCATGGAGTGCTGGAGATGGTGGTAACTTGATATAAGTCAGAAACAGTATTAGGTAAAGGCATAGCTTAGTAGGATTAAATTTTTGGCACAAAAAATGTGTTATTTCTCTTTTGTTTTTAACTCCTTTCTTATTTTTGCCTGGTATCACTTAAATCTGTGTTCTTTTTTAATAAACTTATTCTTGTTTCCCCAGCCATCTCAGTGCTGTATGTTAAAGTGTGGAACCTCAGCTAAACCAAAGGATTTGTGTATGCTGTCTTTTTGGATGCAGCAAATTTAATAATGTCTGAACAGTGAGTGAGAGAGACTGGATGCTGCAGAGACAGCTCTGAACTCAGGAAGAAACATTCCCCAATTGTTACTTGCCACGCAAGGTTAAGATTTGCAGAATCTCAAAAAGTTTGCCAGACAAGCAGATAGATTGGGGAGGGAAGGAGCTGTCTCACACTCTGACTTCCAGCAGAGCTTTCTCTTGCTAAGGCAGAGAGGTAACACAGTGGCTTATGGTTCTGTGGAAATTATCACAATATTTAAAAAGTATTCCTCTATTACTGCACATGCCAAAGAAGAAATGATACATCATTGGGAAAACATATTTGAAAGTTTCAAAAGTGGGTTTGGGGCACCACATCAAGTATGGAAAAAAAGTATAGCAAATGGCCAACATTACAGTGGTGGGTCCCATGATTCCCTGGTGAGATGGGTCAGGGTGCCACTCCTTACTCAGTTGCTCCTTTCCCCTATTCCTGGGTTTTGTGCACTCTGCTCATGCCCTGGTGGAGGGGGAGTGTGGAAGGAATCTGGGTCTCAGCCCCAATCCTTCTCATCCACTGCAGGTTTTTAACCCGCTTCCCCATGGGTAAGGGCTATTGTCAGTTCTTTATACTAGGGGAGGGACTCTCCCTTTCTCTAGTTCTCTGGTCTTTCAAATTTCAGCAGTATAACTCCAATCCTCTCTCCTTCCTCACTCCCCCTCAATCTGCCTGAAATGTGATGGGGAAGTTATTAGGTTCCTGACAGGGCCTTAATTGACTACACGTGCTTCAATTAACCTGTAAATAACCTTCCCTAGTCTACAAAGACCCAAGTCTTAATTAGTCTAGGCCTTATATCACCCCATTCCCCCTCTCCTGTTGCTCTCTGGCTCTGCTGTATTACAAAAGGAAGAATTATCTCTCTTAAAAGCCCAAGATTTTTTAAAATAAAATGTTATTTAACTTCCAAGGATTATAGTTTTATTCACCAAAGGGGGATTGACTGGGGCCATATCCAGAGGTTTTAAGTGGCAGATCCTTCTATTCCATTCTGTCTAATATGTAGAGATATAATATTGACTGTCTTTGAAAGTCTCTGCTAGTGGGCTGAGAAAATCACTACGACTGTGTCTAGACTGGCCAGTTTTTACGGAAAATCAGCCGCTTTTCTGGAAAAACTTGCCAGCTATCTACACTGGCTGCTTGAATTTCCGCAAAAGCACTGACTTCCTAATGTAAGAAATCAGTGCTTCTTGCGGAAATACTATTCTGCTCCCATTTAGGCAAGAGGGCCAGTGTAGGCAGCTCAGATTTGTTTTCCGCAAAAAAGTCCCGATCGCGAAAATGGCAATCAGGGCTTTTTTGCGGAAAAGCGCGTCTAGATTGGCACGGACACTTTTCCGCAAAAAGTGCTTTTGCGGAAAAGCGTCCGTGCCAATCTAGACGCTCTGTTCCAAAAATGCTTTTAACGGAAAACTTTTCCGTTAAAAGCATTTCCGGAAAATCATGCCACTCTAGATGCAGCCCAGGATTTTATTCACTTAAGATTTTTAAAATAAAATTTTCTAGTTATTATGGTCTCTCTGCTATTTATTGTTTTATACAGTAAACTTCCG